TTTTTTTTTTTTTTTTTTTTTTTGAGACATCTAATAAACACCCGCGTAGATTTTTTCCTTATATTTTTTCTTATGTTAAAATAAAATTCTTTTTGAAAGAACAATTATTTGTTTCCTCAAACATTTAAACTACTTTAATTATATTGAATTTGATTTTATAATTTTAAATTATTACTTTAATTAGATTGAATTTGATTTTATAATAATTAAATATATGATGGGAATATGATTTTCTATTAGTTGTTTAATAAAATAAATAAATAAGAAAGAAAAAACGATGATACAAGATAACATTTGAATTTCTTATCTAATTTGATCAGTAATTTTACTAATGGTTGATTATTGAAAAAATTAGTAAAAAAAATTAGTATGAAGTAACATTGAAATTTGGATATGAAAATGCTTAAAAAATTAGATGATTTTGATGTGTAAAATAAATATAGAAAATAATTTTACTTTAAAGTCAGGATTATTTTCATTGTTTTTTGTACATTAAACAATCACTATTGCAACACCCGTGTATTACACGGGTGCTTGTTAAAATTTTTTTCTTAAATTTTAAAATTAATGAGAAAACTATAAAAATCTAGTTTATTTTTTTACAAAAAAAAAATATGTTACTCTATATTTTAGAATGATATGTGTTACTTAAGACTTACATGCGTTATATTATATTAGTTTTCATAACTTATATCATATAAATATAAATATATTAGTTGATAAATAATTTTATTTTTTAATTAATATTAAAAATAATTTTATTATTTTTATAAAGATAAATATAAATTATTTTCTTTATACATACAATATGGATGTTAAATCGAAGCTCGTCAAAAGACGATTAATTTGATATATTAGATATGTAAAACTGATAAAAAATACAAAAGTTATTAACTTTTAAAATATATATACAATTCAATAGTTAAAATATGGAATAATATTGAAATGCAATTAATACATGTAACATGACCATAAATAATCAACATATTTATGATAATCTGAACCTAATTATTTTTAGTTTGGATTTAAATTAAAACTAGTACAACGCCTGTGTATTACACGGGTGCTTGCTAATTTTT